GAATACCGCCGCCCATAAACATCTGTTATATCCGAGGGTTTGCAGATGCGTTGACAACTTTTTAGGCAATTGGGCTCCGGCTACCTCACTCAGCAGACGAAACGCGAAAGTATTATACTTCCACTTTACGCCGGTCTTCTGTGAGGTCGTGGTACCTACCCGGACGAGCCTGCCCATTCGTGCAACAGCCTAGGCTGCTGCGTGGCCCTACTATCGTTGAATTACACGTATAAACCTTTCTCTTAAATGACCCTATCTAGTAAATAAAACCGCATCAAAATCCATTGCGTGGTTTTAAATATCTAATCATACATAGGGACAGACAGACAGCGGGACGATTTTGTTTTAAATTATGTAGTGATTAAAAACTGAATTTAAGAAATACCACATGGATTGTGGTACTACAATTTGATGTATCTTAGAATGAACTACCCGCGTGAAGCGAGAACCAGCTGGTATGTACAAAAAGTTAATTTCGCGGCATAGCTCGATTCCGCTCGCAGCTCGGTCACTGGAGCCAAGAGCAAGTGGGCACATTCCACGAATCAATGAGATAACGGGCGCTGATAACGGCGCTAATTAAAGTTTGCTTTTCGCTTATCGCAATAGCCGAGTAAGCGAGCACGGCGTCGTTGTCTGAAACGAGTTTTATTTATGTGAGGCGGCGGTTCACCTAATGTTAAGCGATAACCGCCGCCCGTGGACATTTGCAACACCCGTAGGGCTGCAAACGCATTGCCACCTTTTAATTGAGTGGGTCCCGGCTACCTCACTCACTACACGAAATGCATAAGTGTAACACTTCCACTGCACGCTGTTCTTCTGCGGGGCCCTGCCACTAATCCGAACGGACCTGCCCATACGTGCAACAGCGACTGTCGCTCGGGTTGACATGTTTATTGCACTCAAAACATTTCATAATTAAACATAAAATATTTAATAAAATAAGTTTTATTAATTAATGTACATAATTACTGTGGTAGGGCCACGCAGCAGTTGCACGAATGGGCAGCGCCGTCCGGATAAAACCACGACCTCACAGAAGACCAGTGTGAAGTAGAAGTGTTATACTTTTTCCTTTTGTGCGATGAGTGAGGTAGCCGGGGCCTACTTTATTATAAGGTGGCAACGTATTTGTAACTCTAGGGGTGTATAAAATGTTTATCTGCGGCGTTTATCATTTAACATCAGGTGAACCGCGTGCTCGCTTGCGTACTTCTTAGATTAAAAAAAAAAAGTAAACGACACTACTGTATATAAGCAATAAATCCAAAATCATAAAAAGCGTAGCTAATACAGACTTCCCGCTTGAAGTAGATTATTAATAGAAACCCGAAATACATACGGAAATTAGAAGGGACGTCTTCAGTCAAGGAGTGTCCTGCGTTATAAAATATCACGGAGGAAGTGTGACATAAATTCTCACATGAGATACCTAACGCCCGCGCATATAAAATGGTAGTCTTTATAAGCATCTTAAAAATAAAACTTGAAACAAATTAAAAGGTTAAAAAAAAATAAAAGGTTTCAAGTTCGCTTCTTAACCGTCGCTTGGGAGAAGTGTCAGCTGTGTCGACCTAAAACTAAATGAAACTTATTGACAGCTAGGCAACGGGATAAATTTTTATTTATTTAATTGTACTAAGCTGTATAAATGCGAGCTTACTTTAAAAAAATATGCCCTTACTTAAATTTCACGTGGACAAACACCCAGATGCGAAACGACTATTTGTTGGTTACGCAAATAGTTGTTCCGTGTGAGAATCCAACCCACAATCCCCGACGCCGAAGCCAATACCTTGGCAACTGCGCCACGGAGTCATCAAAGAGAGCTTAATGGTATACCGTATTCTCTACAAGCTCACCTAAACCTAGGTAAAATAGAAAGAGAATGACTTGTGCAGGAAGGTAGTTGTAAACGCTAAGTAAAATGGATACACTTAGAAAAGCCACCCTGTTTATACAACGTGTCGTTACCATCGCGACAATAAATGAACACACATATAGGGAATAACTTTTTAAAGTTGTATTAAACATTTAAATTCTTTAGACATTAATATTTACAGAGTTATTAAATTTTCCAAAACAAAGAATTTTACAACACCCTTACCTATAAAAGCGTAACGTAAAGTTCATTTGTAAAGGTCACAAAGCATATGAATGGGTTGAATGAATTTAAAAGAGACAAAACATACTGTTAGAAGGAGAGGCTTGTAATCCGACGCTGTGGCGCGAGTTGTATAGTAGGATGTTACAAATATTGTTTCTTTTTTACTTAATTAGTTTGTTTGAAAAATATTTTTTTTTTAATTATGGATTTTGTTTAACGTTAATATTTTTTTATGATTATTGGCAAGTAGCGTTAGACGTGTCTTCATTTATTGTCGCGATGGATATCATATATATACACGCTGTATATATATGATAGCGTTTAGTTACTGCAGAAATGAATTTAACCTAAATAGCTATTAACTTGTGTTAAATTAATACAATAATTTGCAAATTATTAAAGTGATTATTGTAATTTGTAATCTCGGTGTATTTATAATTTTGATGTATTGTAAATGTAAGTTACATTATATTACGAAGTACTAATTTCTTGATGATTGTTGAAGATTAATTGTCGTTGAATTTGGTTGTTGTTTGATTAGACCAAGTGACCTGTTGTATAGTATAAAAGCCGATGTCTGCTTCAAGCTACATCCGCCGAGGTTCAGGCTAGGCGCCTCGTGCGCCAGGCCACCTCAAGTCCGTCGGATCTTTAAAGGCCCCTAAGGCCAACAGTGGCTCATCCAGCCCAAAAAAAAAATCAAGCTACATCATTCTGTTCGGAGTGTTCATAGTGTGTACTTTGAAGTAAAAAATTATAACAGTGATCAAGTTCTTTTGTTATTGTGTGTGTATCCTTTTGGCAACTCAAATAACATTTGAAAATCCATTTGACAGCTGATTAGTTGACTTGTACGATGATCAGTGTTTCAGAAACCGGGCGTAAATCAAGAAACGGGACGTTAGTAATGAGGCGAAGTTCCCGCTCAGTGTATTAAAATTAGACATCCCAATATTGTCTCTCGCACGCGCCTTAATTAATTGCCTCAACAATGAAGAAAGATAAACAGTTCCCCAATTTTTAACAAGCGGATGCGTTCGCCCATCTTTCCTTTTACGTCGCCGGCGGCGTGGCAGTTGGGCTGCCAAAATTAAATATTAAATATTTGAAATAAGAATGGCAAATATGTATGTACGTACAAATCTACCTACTTGGTCACTTAACATTTTCTCATAATATGTTAATAATAAAAATGGTTATTTTTTGAAAACAGTTTATAGGTAGGTTCGGGCTCGCCACTGTGCTAATTTTATCCCATTACTTATTTGTGGGATAAAAAATAAAAAAATATAATGTTACGGCGTTGTTTTAAGCTATGACGGATGAAACAGAAACAGGAAGTTATATTTTTCTATATAATAATAATGGTTAGGTTTCAAGTAGTATCTTAGAATGATAATTTTTGACAGATAAATTTTAGTCCGATTCTAGTCTTGCAATTGCAACTATGTATTGTTTCTAAGTAACACACAATAGATAGTTTATCTAAAATTAAATAAACATATATATTACATAATTTCGAATAGTTTGAAGCATTCAGTCCGTTCCGTTACAATCAACGGGGACCCACTTAAAAATTAAACGCGATAAAATCCATATTTAATTTTTATTTAACCAGAATTTGGTCGTTATGTGACAACCCTAATCATGGCGGTCGTAAATAAGTTGGCGGACGCGTTCATGTCGAGTGTGTTTTATTTCATCTTTAGTGAAGAACGCGAGAGTGGAGATATAACGTTTCTGCGGTCCTCTCTAAGCGTCATTAGAAATCGTACTTTGAAAATAGAAATGTTCTATTTCCGTTCTACAAAATTCAAACGTGTTCCTCGCCGTGGGTTTGAAGCATTTCATTATTTTCAACTGTGGTAGGCCCACACAACAATGTTCATTGTTGCACGAATGGGCAGGTCCGTCCGGGTAAGTACCACGACCTCACAGAGGGACGGCGCGGCGATAAGTGGAAGTATATATTTTCGCGTTGCCTCTGGTGAGTGAGGTAGCCGGAGCTCACTTTTTTAATGTTTGGCAACGCCTCAGCAACGATGGGCGGATGTCGATGGGCGGCGGTTATCAATTAACATTAGGTGAACCGCTTGCTCGCTTGGCAACTTTTCACATAAAGAAATAAACGAAAGTGCGATCTTAAATTATATCTCATCAATACGATCGTATATTTTGGTACACTGTTAACGTTGTTACGACACACAGATAAATGTTAAAGTTTTCGTAAACCTAAAATTGAAAGCATTAATAATGTTGACATGACAACAATTAAATAATTAAAGATATAATTAACGAAACGTAACTTAATTACCAATATTATTGAATTATTAATAGAAAATGTTAACGACATCTTTTTTTTTTTATTTTACCTGCTAATTTATTCGGGCCTTGTACGAACATTTGGGGAGTAATACACATGGATGTATTGATAATTTATAGAATTTTATTCGTTAAAGGTCTTATAAATGTAGATTTTATCTCATTGCGTTTACTAAATTATATAAATATATGATGACAATGGCCGGTCACCATTTAATTTAGAAGTCGGATCATTAATGACATGTAATATGATAAAATGTAACTGTCAATCTGTCTTTGACTTTAAGTGATAATGTTATTTATACGATTTCTAATCATAGACAGTTTTTAGAATATTCATTCGTCTGACTGAAAATTTGTCTCGAATAAATTACTCAATATATTCTTCTTTTGAACCCTGCAAATTCAATGAAACGAATTTGCAGGGTTCAAAAGAAGAATATAAATATTTGTAGTACTTTTTAGAAGGATTTTATTTCACTTCCCTCACTAGATCTATGGAGACGAAGTCGCGTGCATGGGCTACATAATAACATTATTCTTTATACAAATCATCAACTTGACTTACCTCTTCAATGGACGACGACAAGAATCCCGAACTGTAACAAAAATAAGATTACGTTATTATACTACTTCATGCGATGCGCTTAACAAACAGTTATTTTATTAATCATCATACCAACTCCTTTATCCACTTAAGACAAAGAGCCGGCTTAACTAGTCAGGTATACTCTACAGTCTGCCTGACGTCAACCCTCCTTGGGAAACAAACACCCAGATCCGGATTAATTATCTGTGGGTCGCACAAAAACTTTTCCCGTGTGGGAATCGAACCCCGGACGCCGAAGCCAATAGCTTAGCAGCGGCGCTACCGAGTCACGCGTCGCCATAATATGTCGGAACTAATATTATCCCTACTAATATTTTAAATGTGAATGTAAGTTTGTTTGTCACGCTTTCACGCCAAAACTACTCAACCGATTATCGTGAAATCTACACATATTCTTAGAGGTATTAAATAGGACATAGGATTATTTTTAATAAAAAACATATTATTAAAGGGCGTCATCGCGGGCGAAAAGCTAGTATAGTTAATATAGTAGATAATCTTACCAACAAAACAAGCTCATTTTCTTTCCATTCGTGTTCGACATTCTCGTAGTGATTCAATTCAGTTTCAAATAGAAAAGTGTGCGATTTTCAACCGAATAAAAATCGTTATAGAATGGAGTAACTGCCTAATAATTTAATGAAAGTAACAAGTCATAATAAATGACTACATGATGGCGAAATCGGTCCCAACTCTGGAGAGTTAATTACAATTATATTGTCACAGATTATTAAGGTTCCGTACCCAAAGGTTAAAACGGGACCCTGTTACTAAGACTCTGCTATCTGTCTGTCTGTCCGTCCGTCACCAGGCTTTAACTCATGAACCGTGATAGTTTGACAGTTGAAATTACGCAGATGATATATTCCTGTTGCCGCCATAGCATCAAATAAAAAACAGAATAAAAAAACATATAAGTGGAGCTTCCATACAACAGACATAATTTTTTGTCGTTTTTATAGATAAGGCACGGAGCCCTGACTCGTACTTGGCCGGTTTTATTATTCGTTTTATTATTAAAGTAGGACATACATTTCTTTGACGAGTTGACCGACGTCTAGTTCGTGTGATGGCATGTGAAAACATCTGTGCACTCGATCGTGACAGACGGAGGATGTTTGCTATTGTGCGTTTGTATACAGGATGTTCTGATTCCAAATTCTGCTTGCGTTGCGAGTGAGTAGGTTGAGTAAAGGCATGCACTGATTAACAATCAAATAAGAAATTTCTTTTTTATTTGCGTTTATTTCACTCATACGTTTCGTTTGATGAGTGAGGTAACTGCGGCCCAATTTATTAAAAGGTGGCAACGTATCTGCAACCCTACGGGTGTTGCAAATGTCCATGAGTAGTGGTTATCACTTAAAATCCGGTGAACCACCAGCTTGCTTGCCACATTCTTACTTAAAAAAATTTGAAAATTAATCGGTGCACGACTGTGGTATTACAACTCGTAGTCTCCGACAAAGTAAACCAGAGGTTTCAAACGATTTTGAGACCGCACATTATTAAGATATCGTTCAGTTATTTTGATTATTCGTTCAGTTATTTCTCACGCGACATTATATAAACGTAGAACTCGCGAAGGCAACTATGAAGTACCTATCCTAATACCCACTATCTTGTTGAGGGTATTAAATTATCATCCACCACGCGATCGCATTACTGATTGGCAGACTTCAATTATGTTCGAAATACTTTTCTTTAATTTCTTCGATCTGCACATTTCTTTACTATGTTTGTTTACCTTTACTGTTCAGAGCTTTCATCGGCGCCGGCGCCGGAATTTGAATGAGGTTTTTTCAAGTAAATCGAATTAAAAACGGGAGCAAGGACACTGAGCTAAAACAAAGGGCACTCAGGCGCATTATAGCATTATTATTTTACCACGGACGGGGCATGGAACATCCTGTACATTCTGACAGACATCTGTATAAGGAAGCCCCCAATGGACGCGTCATAACGAATTCGTATTGGTACACGCCTTTCTTTGTCAACCTAAAGCGGTCAATCGATGTATACAAGCGACAAACTTCCTTAACCGTTCGCGAATAGGATGCAAATTCGTTTGCGCACAAGAAGTTTGCACTCGAGTTTGCTCTCGTTTCAATGTCTTTGGCCCGGATAGGGAATAGCGCGGGAAAAGAGGTTGAGAATATAAGGCTTGGGAAGCTAATCGAAGAAACAGTAGCAAGGGTTAACTATGGCATTGAGACTGATAATACCGAACTGTTCTATAACCATAGACATTCCTTCGCGTTCGCAAGGACAAATTTGAGGACAATTTAAAAGTTATAAAATGCGTATCACTATTGCATCATTGTCATTTCAGCCTGTTCGCGTACATAGCGGAACATAGGCTTCCACCATTGACTGCCACGAAGCACGATCCTGTGCCAACGGCATCAGACGACTTCAGATCGACTTCCCGCACATTTGCACAGGTCGTCACTCCATCTAGTGGGGGGTCTTCCCACACTGCGATGGCCAATACGAGGCTGCCACTAAAGAACCTTTCTTCCCCATCAGTTATAGCTTCTACTAGCTATGTGGCCGGCCCATTGCCACTTCAGCTTACTAATCTTCTGGGCTACATGGGTTACCTATTCGATATCCTCATTGCGAACTCTATCCATTAATCTAAGAGAATTTGTTGTATGTCAACACCGGGAAAGAACAAAGACCTAACAGAAGATCGACGTGAAGTGGATGTGTTCTGGTGAGTGAGAAGAGATGTAAGCGGGGGCCCACTTTATTGAAAGGTGTAACTCTACGGGGTGGCGGTTATCACTTAACATCAGGTGAACCGCCAGCTCACTTGCCATCTTCTTACAAAAAAAATTCGGCTCGTCTGCCAAAGATTAGGCATCGGTTACATACTGAGTACGTCAATCAGATTGGATGAATATTCAGAGGGGGCGACTTGGAAGTTAGCTGTAACCGACATGCAAGCAAATAAGTCACATTATCAACATCGTCGAGAGTATAACAAATCTAATCTAAGAGGCGGAAGAATCTGATAAGTAACCGGTAGTTTGGTAAGTCTGATTGAAATAGAGTTTAGCTAAATTTAACTTAAGTAAGATGCTTTTATATAGCACGCATGGTATTGCCGATGTCCGTTGCCCCTGGACATTCTAACTTAAGTGGGATCGCTTTGCCAAGCTGTAAATGAGTGGACCTCGATTAGCATAATCACCAGATGAAACGCAAAATCAGAATGGTTCTGCTTCACATCATTCTTCCGCGAGGGCCTGGTACTTCACCGTACGGGACTTTACACGAGAAAATATCACAAAGCGAAACAGATGTCATAATAATATTTTCTTGTATTTACGCGATTACACATCACTGAATGAAACAATGTTTACGGATTTAGACCTTGTAATAGCTGAATTTGTTTTTCTTTTTGACTCACAGAAAAGAAATCAAGCAGAAAACTAAACAATTGTAAACAAAAGAGATTCTTATATCACGACCAGATATGGCCTATGATCTTATCCTTCTAACGTGGCATTGTGACCTTAATTTAAGACAAAAATATATCTGAACATTAAAAACCATTGTCAGCCGAAAAGGCGAGCGGACTAGAACAAAAAAATTTACTTTTTACACGCGCGACCTTCACCTGATAGAGCCATATTGCTCACGAGTTTAGTAATGAACTCGTTCCTAATATTTGAAATTGTCTCTTAGTCTTGCGAAATTCCGTTCGTTTGCGGAGCGAGATATACATCGCGCTTTAACAACAATGGACGCCAAACAATGCACGACGATATCATACGATTGAATTACAAAGACAATCTCTGATGAGTTTCCAATGCACGGGCAAGCAACTCTATCTAAGAAAGGCGTCGGTCCAAAATACGTTCATAAGAAAGTAATATAATGCTTTTTTGTAACGATTCTGCCTAAATCTATGGTGTACAGCGATAGCTCGGGGAGCTCGCTCTTAATTCAGTGTACTCGAGTAATCTGCGTTCAAAACTCGGTGCCGGAAACGAAGAAATTGTGAATTTTTGGTGATGACTAATCTCATGCTCATCGGTAAAGAAAAACATTGTAAAGGAAACCTGCGTAATTTAGAAATAATAACGAAAGGACCGAATTGTCTTTATGATATGTGAAGTCTGCTAATCCTCAATGAGATCGCGTGGTGGAGTGTTCCCTAATACCCTCCGTACAGGGGAGTATTGTATAGGCTGTTACTTTATTCACATAGCATAGGTAGTTGGGTTAGAAAATTCAGGCGAGTCACATTACGAAGAAAATATCTCAGTCGCCCATTACGGCGGCGGGAGCTAACAATACCCACCCTTTAGAAACTCTGTAAATGCCCATAAGGATATTTTGGAATACGTACGTTTATAAGATTTGCATGCTGTTAAAAACAGATAAATAGGTAAGCTTGCCATTATGAGACGACAACAAGATATAACAAGACCAAGATATTTTCTGTACCTATTTACTAGCTATGTAAATAGGTACATTTATATATATAAAGAAACTTGATATTAATCACTTGTATTGGCAGTGATTACCTTACGTTTAACCTTTTTTTATGTGAAAAGTTGTCAAACGAGTAGACGGTTCACCTGATGTTAAGTGAATACCGCCACCCATGGACATCAGCCACACCCGAGGGTTACAGATGCGTTGACAACATTTTGAAAATTAGGCTCCGGCTACCTCACAGACGAAACGCGAAAGTATTTGTCATACTTCCACTTTACGCTGGTCTTCTGTGAGGTCGTGGTACTTACCCGGACGGGCCTGCCCATTCGTGCAACAGCCAAGGCTGCTGCGTGGCCCTACCACCGTTAAAACTTTCCAAACTAAACTCACGGGGGTTATTTCCCTATACCAGACATTGTTTTACCAGACATGGTTTAAGCTAAGGTCTCCATAATAAGCTGAGGGTCTCTTTATCAACAGTACTTAGAATACTTTCGGGTTACGTAATTACGAAAATATAATACCAGAGAACAAGGTATCGTTCACAGCTGAATTGGCACTATTCGGCCAACTTTTACCATTTCCAGGATTGACTGAGAGGGAACGATTGTTTTGCTTTTATTGGGCATAAACTATGGATATTAAAATAAAGATATATGGTAAATGTAGAAGAAGATAGAGATGTAACTGATGATTTAACGGTGGTAGGACCAATGGTGTTCACTGTTGCACGAATGGGCAGATCCGTCCGGGTTAGTACCACGACCTCACAGAAGACCGGCGTAAAGTAGAAGTGTTACACTTCTGCGTTTCATTTGGTGATTAAGGTAGTCGGGGCCCACTTTATTTAAAGGCGGCAACGCTTCTGCAACCCTACGGGTGTTGCAAATGTCCATGGGCGGCGGTTGTCACTTAATATCAGGTGAACGGCCAGCTCGTTTACCACTTTGTCACATTAAAAAAACGTTGGTACAAAAGTGAGGGGCACTATGCTTCGATCTTACATGATTGGAACGAGATTGGACATTTAAACAAAGTTAGTATTACAAACGTAATAAAGGTACTAAGAAACTGTAATAGAAGATTTATTATTAACGATTTTCAACGATTACAGATTTTCCTTGTAAGTTAAACTTTCTTATTCCCTATAAGCTGTGTACAGACAATGTTTAAAACATTACGTAGTCAAGAACGTAGAAGAAAACCGTCTCTGCGAATTCAATTAAAGCAATCAGTCTGTAGAACAAACCAATCTTTTGGTTAACAACGCAGTGACAATTCGTTGGTGCGCGATTCCCAGCACAATTCATTTGGGGCAAGAGTTTGTTAAGTACGTCGTCAATTTAAAGGCCAATTCTCGATAGGTGCACGATACAGATACACAAAGAACACAATCGTCACAGTGACATTTGAGTCTGCCAATATTAAGAATGAATATTTGCGCAATATTAAATCATGTTTATATAATGTTCACTATTCATACGGGCGTAATATTCGCGGCGTGCAATATTCGCGTGCGGGCGACAAGCGGCGCGGAGTTGCGCGCTGTGACTGAGCGACAATCTTATCAGACGCTGATTAGGCGACGGGTTGATTCATTGTTGGCATATTAAGGGGCCCCAGCGCACATAAAACAAGGATTAAGTCACGTCAGTCGACGTCCGCGAAAGTTATACTAAACTAGCGACCCGACCCGGCTTCGCTTGAGTGCAATGTATTATACATATAAACCTTCCTCTTGAATCACTCTATCTAGTAAAAAAAAAAAACAACATCAAAATCCATTGCGTAGTTTTAAAGATCTAAGCAAACATAAGGACAGACAGACAGCGGGACGACTTTGTTTTAACTATGTAGTGAATTTAAAAGCCCGATTAGCTATATGGAATTTCATTTTGTCGGGTTTAATATTAGTACTAGATACAGTCGTTGCCATCTGCATCCACCTACGTGACAGTTAAATGGAATGACTTTTTAGGGTTCCATACCCAAAGGGTAAAACGGGACCCTATTACTAAGTCTCCACTGTCTGTCCGTCTCGGTCCGTCTGTCACCAGGCTGTAATCTCGTGAACCGCGATAGTTTGACAGTTTCACGACTCTAACCTTAAGTACATTTCACTGACTAATAAAGATTTTTTAAAAAAAAAAAAACATTGCCCAAATAAATTTCACATGGACAAACAACCAGATGCGAAACAACTATCTGTGGGTCGCACGAAGAGTTGTCCCGTGTGGGAATCGAACCCACGACCCCCGACGCCGAAGCCTTGGCAACTGCGCCACGGAATGATCTCTTCCATAGCGTTTTTTTTTTTTCATCATCCCCGGCGCAACTTGCGCCCTCCGTTGGGAAAGTTTGGTTCATGGTTTAGCACGTAAATTAACAGAGGATTGGATATCCTGCTAGAAAGTATTGTGGGAAGAACACAGTGTTCTCCAGTATCGGGGTGTTAATATGTGTATTTATTTACAAAAGAAAAGTATGTTTAAATATGTTTATCAGTTATCTAGTACCTATGGTACAAGCGATGCTTAGTTCGGGACTAAAGAATGTTGTGTAAAAATGTGCCCTAAAATATATATTTATTATGATTTATTTATAATAATTTGTGGACATTACTTATCTCTCAAAAACTCTTAAAAAACTCTCAAAAACTCGTAACTATTTAAGCAAATAAACATTAAGTTTATTTGCGACACGTGTAGCTTCTTTCACACAAGAGTGAACCTTATCTCTAACATAATATGGTCCTTCGAGCCGGATCATTTGGACTAGAATTATACATTACTAGCGACCCGCCCGCGATTCATTAATTTGATCTATCTTGTAAGGCACGACACGACATCACTTTACTCGGCTTGTCTCTACTATATATTAGTATAATACGTGCGTAATATATGCATGTATTCTACATATAAAACTTCCTCTTGAACCACTATATCTATTGCTGAAAACCGCATTAAAATCCGTTGCGTAGTTTTAAAGATCACAGCGTACAAACAGCGATACGTCGATCTTGTCCGACCATTTACACTACTGTGCTCACTCACTGTACTAAACACTAGACCAGTGTAAATCGGGCTTATTCCTTACTCCCTTACTTAATATTTATAAACGCGAAAGTTTGTATGTATGGATGGATGTTTGTTACTCTTTCACGCAAATACTACTCGATGGGGATTTTAACGAAACTTTACAATAATATAGCTTATACATCAGAATAACACATAGGCTAGAATTTATATACACATTTTATGTATAGCTGTCTTTCTGGATGTTACGCCTCCAGCCTATTCTACGCGGACTGAGTGCGGGCAGCAGCTAGTACTATGTAAAGATACTTCGCGTATCGAGCTCACCTCTCGTCGTATGCGGTGGAGCTGGTGGCGTCGAGGGTCTGCGCGCCCAGATCCTGGGAGCCGTCCAGTCCGTCACTGTCCAGGGAGCGGGCCAGGTCCCGGTTCTTCTGGTCCCAGAGCCGCCTGGTTTCGTCCTGGGCCCGCCGCTTTAAGGCCGATATCTTCTCGCGCTCGTTCTCTATCACTTGGCACCCTGGAAGGTGGCAGTAGTCGTACAAAACTTGCACATTCCCATAATCTAAAAAACGATTTTTTAATAAAGACGAAGCACTGTTCCATTACATTGCATCAGCATTGTTCCATTTTTACATAATATGACAAAATTCTGTGGTAGGACCACGCAAATAGTGTACGCTGCTGCACGAATGGGCAGAACCGTCCGGGTAAGTACCACGACCTCACAGGAGTCCGGCGTCAAGTGGAAGTGACTTACTTCTGCGTTTCGTCTGGTGAGTGAGGTAGCCGGAGCCCAATTTATTAAAAGGTGGCAGGCAACGCATCTGCAACTCAACCCCACGGGTATTGCAACTGTCCATGGGCGGCAGTTTGCTCATTTGCCACCTTCTTACATAAAAAAATATCATCCCACAGGAGAGAGAGAGAGAGAGAGAGAGAGAGCCCACCTTGTTCTTCCAGCATCTCGATCCGTTTCCTCTCGATCTCCATGAGGCTGTCCAGGGTGCGCTTGCCCAGCGAGCTCATGTCCGCCCCGCTGCCGAGGATCGGGGCGTCCATCGTCACCCTGGAGATCCGGTCGATGTCGTCCTGCGAGGGCGCTTTCGCCGAGTCGGGCGACCTTCGGAACTCTGGACCGCTTCTACTCGGCTCGTCGCCGCAGCTCTTCCTGTGGAGGGCCTTGGGCGGTGTGACGTCACGGGTCTCACTCCTCTCGAAGGTGACGCTCGATTTGGATAGCTCCTCTCTCACGTCATCCGCTGTCTCCTCTTTAATGTCAGCGCCTCTCTTCTCCGGCGTCGAGGTCCTCGCTTTGGAGTACTTGTTGTCGCCGCTGGCCGGCTTGCCGTTCTTCACGTAGCGGCTTTTCGCGGCCTCTTTGTCGGCTTCTTCCGCTTTGGCGGTACTCTCCTTCGCCCTCCTGCTGAAGGAGTCCTTCTTGATTATCTTCCCCAGGGCGGCGAGGGTCGGGATCTTGGAGACACTCTTGGCCGCGTTGGCGTTTTTGCTGTCAGACTTCTTGGCGCGTAGACTGTTGAACCTGTCTCGAGGGAATTCCGCCTCGATGGTGTCGCCGTTCAAGAGCAGATTCTCGTTGAAGCTCTGAGACATCGGGTCCGCTTTCTCGGGCGACTGTTTCTTCTCGCGAGCGCCCCTCCGCTTCAGCGAATCGAAGTTCCTCTCCCAAAATCCCTTCTTCCCCTTCGAGGAAGTGGAAGACTTCGACGGGCTTTCGCTGAGGCGGCTCTCTGTCTGAACATCCTCGACCCCACCGGCCCGCCTCTCGATGTCCACGAACATCGACTGCGACATCCGATCGATCGCGTTGAACCTCTCGCTGGTAATCTTCGCATGGTCCTCGTAGCCGGACATTTTGTCCGTATCATCGCTGTCCGAAGTCTGCGGGGAATAACCGAACTCGCCGGACTTGGCTCTGGTCTGGTCGGTGTAGAACGCGCTGTCGGGCGACTGGGTTCTCTCGATCTCGTTCAGCTTCGCCACCAAGGGTTTCAGTTCCCGCTCGACGCCCTGGACCCTCCCCGTCAGCGTCTCCACTCTGTTCAGGAGGCGCACGTACTCCGCCTGCAGGATCTTGGTCTCGTCCAGCGCCGACGTCAAGTTGTTGTTGGCTTCGGACTTCAGGGTCAGTATTCTGCTCTTCTGCGCGTCTATCTTCTTAGTGAGGTTCATTATTTCGTTTTGCAGGTCTTCCCTGTTCGCCAGTCTGCGAAGGACAAGATGAATAATGTTTAGTAACAATCCTGGAGCATCTTCACATACTGTATGTTTTAATAGTAATTTTAGTAGTAAAATTGCTACGTATTGACATTCGTACGCATTTTCCCATTGACATTATTCTTCTACTGCCATTTACATGAGCAAATGTTGCAAACTCTAAACGAGATAATTAAGGTTTTGCAAGTTCTCTTTACATTTGATTAACTCTAACACTATTTAATTTTTTTTTGTGTGATGGTTATTAGAAATATACTAAGTCTAACGAATAATAGGAATCTTACAATTCGGATTCCTCCTCTAAATGCTGGAACTCCAAATCTTCGAAGATTTTCGTTTCGTTATCCAATATGTCTTGCGCGTTCTGTAATTCTTCCATCGTGGCTGCGTTTTCTTTTAGGTCCTTTTCAATCCTGTGGAATAGAGAATTGCCAACATTTTAACTATGTTTGTGTACATTATGATGTAGAACCAAGATAACCGATATAGCTCAGAGTATTAGCAAGCTGAAGTGGCGATGGGCCGGCCATATAGCTCGTAGAACCGATAACCGTTGGGGAAGAAAGGTTCGAGTGGCAGCCTCGTACTGGCCATCGCAGTGTGGGACGACCCCCCACTAGATGGAGTGACGACCTGTGCAAATGTGTGGGAAGTCGATGGATGCAGGTGGCTCAGGATCGTACTTCATGGCAGTCTGTGGGGGAGGCCTATGTTCACCAGTGGACTCAAACAGGCTGAACTGGTGATGATGATGATATTATGATGTTGGAAATAGACACTCGGCTACTTGACAACGACCCGATTAGCGTAGTGGGTAGTGAACCCGTCTCTTACACCAGAGGGTGTGGGCATCGAGCCCATTACTAGAAAAATATTGTGCGATGAACACAGTGTTTTCCAATGTCTTGTGTTTATTTATATACAGTATGTATTTATTTACAAAAGAAAATTATGTTTAATATATTATCAGCTACTTGTAAAATCTAACTAGTTCAAAATTAAAACACCTATTAAGTATCAAATATCGCAATTAATTGAAAGGTTCGTCAATAAAGTTAATGTTGCAACATCATGTCACATGTCACTTACCGTTCTACTTTAGTAGTAGCGATTTCAACTCTATCTCTTATCTCGTTCTGTCGTATCTCTTGCTTCTCTTTCAGCTGCTTGATCTCTTCTTCAATCTTCTGCGCATTTTCGATTAACTCCGTTTTTTTCCTCTGCTCAATGTTTAGTATTGCTATCTCCGAGTCATATTCGCCTTTGATGAGAGCCTTCTCCATTTCCAACTATGAAAAATGTATTTAGACAATGTAATTATTTACGAAATTTTGTAGGGATTAAATATAGTAACTTAAACAACTGTCAGAATATTTTTTTTTATTAACATTTATGGATTTCTAAAACAATAGGAAGTTTGCAAAACAAAACTAATAAATGTAGGAATAAACACGATTTATCGTGCACAAATTAAATAGTATTTTTATTGTGAGAAGGTGGCAAGTGAGCCGGCGGTTCACATGATGTTAAGTGATAACCGCCTCCCATTGACATTTTCAACACTCGTAGGGTTGCACGTGTTAGCTTTTAATAAAGTGGGCCCTGGCTACCTCACTCAAAAGAGAAAAGGCAGACGTATAACACTTCAACTTCACGCCGGTCTTTGGTAAGGTCATGGTACTCACCTGGACGGACCTGCCCATTCGTGCAACAGCGAATACTATTGCGATGCCCTACTACATATCAACACAAAATAGAGAGTACTCTATTGATTTTACTAATGATTCGAACTAACCTCTCGTAAAATGTCGTCCTCTTGAGATCTTATTTCCGACATCTTACATTTGATCTCGTGAATTTCCGCGACCAACTTCTTCCTTTCCTCTTTCAAAGTGTCGTATTTAGATTTCAAATCGTCAACATTATCATCTAGAACAGCACTGTCGATAGAGCTCGCTTCGAAATCCATCCTCTTCATGTCCTCCGTTAAGTTCTTTATGATCTTCTCCCGTTTGTTCTGCTTAAGGTCTTTCTCGAACTCCTCCAACTCTGGTATGTCCGCCATCAACTCTTTCTTGACGTCGTCAAAACTTTGATTTTTTATCAACGTCTTCTCGATTAGGTATTCGTCTAGAGGACTAGGATCTTCGCTCTCCTTCTGCTGGCTAGCTTTGTCTTCTTCCTCGTTCTTCTCGCTGAACACCCTCGAATATCTGAACTCCAAGTCGTTGGTCAAATCGCTGTCATCTATCATCGGTATTTCCTCCTCCAGGCTCAACTGCTTCTCGATACCGCCGCATTTGGGGCTGTTCGTATTGTCAGGTACTGGGGAATCGTTGTTGGTGCCTTTTTCCGTTTCGAAGCTCGGTTGCGTGTTGTTCGGCGGCGGCGTCGGGAAAACAAAGTACTGGGGCGACGCGAGATTCTTGTGAGCGAATGTCGTCTTTATCCTACTCCGGGGGCTTTGAGTTTTCGGCGATTTCGGCTTGAGGTTCGCGTTGGTGTTGCTCTTTGAATAAATGTTCTCGTAGGGGCTTCCGATCGGGGACGAAGTCAGCCGCTCCCCGTTCCTCCTCAGCAGTATCGGGCTGGGGACTTCGCTGAAGTCGTCGTCGAAGACGGGAATCCCGATCTCGTCCATTCGGCCCACGTTTTCGTAGTGGCCTATTGTCACTTCGGGCGTCAGCTGCTCAATGCGGGTAGGGGAATGCGCGCCGTCGAAATTCTCGTAGCTTGAGAGGTTCCTCTGCAGCGAGTTGTCGGTGGTAGGCGCGTTTCGGTTGTGGCTAGTGTCGAATCTAAAAGCGATGGTTTCGGATTATGTTTCAACAAAAGACATCTTATCTGTATATAACAAAACTTCTTTCTTACTATTAACCTGACATGTAACGAGATTTCATTTTATTTAATTACGGACCTGATTTTATATCCATACTAATACTATAAATGCGAAAGTAACTCTGTCTGTCTCGCTTTCACTCCAAAACTACTGAACCGATTTAAATGAAATTTGGTACAAATATGTTCTAGAGCCTTAGAAAGGACATAGGCTATTTTTAATTGGAAAAAAGTGTTAAAATATATTTATTTAAGAGCTTCAACGCGAGCGAGGCTGCAGGCGAAAAGCTAGTTGTCTATATTCGATGTCAAAATTCCCTATTCTTGCAAATCTTAACTTTTACTTCAATGTCGGGTTATCGTAGTCGGACGGTTGCTATTTCTAGTAGTAACTATTTCATGGTAGTGATGAAGGAAGACTGACAAAGAACAAGTACGGTGTGGAGATGTGTACAAAATGGTTTCTTCATTCGAAAGAAAACAGTTTTTTGGTGTCGCTTATATTCAAGGTGATACTTAATTAAACACTTTGTTTGCGCATTATGAAAATTTGTTCTCAGATGTCCCTAGGTATTTAGTCGTTAATTAATAAACATCATGCAAATATATATGAAGTTAACTTACTTATAGTACCCTTCACTGGTCTGTATGAAGTTGGGATTGTTGAGGGTAACACTGCGTGGCAGCGAGCCGTTTGTAATTATTTTGTTGTGTGACCTCTTCTCGGTTGGTGTTATGGGATTACCTGAAATGAAAGAAACATTCATTTTTGATTAGTATTTAAGCACGTGGAGGTATTATTACTATTAAGTTTCTCCATAATAACGCTGTCAAAGAAAATAAACTACGTGAAGATGCGTAGAAAAATTTTGGAAGTTTGGGAATCTTTCTAAAATAATTCCCTACCGATGGATCATGACTTCATGATCATGAGTTTACGTTTTTTTTAATTAAACGGGGATTACTGGATAATAAAGTAGACTAACGATAGCGAAATTGTGCCATTAGGTGCCAACCAGCTAGTCCAAAGAGCAGAGCGAGCTGTAAAAAATTTAGATACAAACAAACGAACACAATAACGTTTCAATATAGACTAGATTATCACTAACAGATTTTCAATAAATCTTTAGAAAACCTTCGCTCCACTAATGACAAATAATTAGTGCCACAAAGAAGGTACAGTAAGACCTAGGATCAAACTTTATGAAAATTTTATATGTAAGAAGAATTCATCGTCATCTATTTTCAGCCTGTTTGAGTCGACTACAGAACTTAGGCCTCTAGAACTGGAGAACCTTTCCTCCCCATCAAGTATTAATTAATCTAAAATAAGAAATGGAAAACCTACATATTTAAAAAACGCCATTTTACGGTGGTAGGGCCTAGCAGCAGCCTCGGCTGTTGCACGACTGGGCAGGCCCGTCCGGGTAAGTAACACGACCTCACAGAAGACCAGCGTAAAGTGGAAGTATGAAAAATACTTTCGCGTTTCGTCTGGTGACTGAGGTAACCGGAGCCCAATTTTCAAAAGGTTGTCAACGCATCTGTAACCCTCGGGTGTGGCAGATGTCCACGGGCGGCGGTATTCACTTACGATCAGGTGAACCGTCTGCTCGCTAGGCAATTTTTCACATAAAAAAAGCGCCATTTGCCTTTGAGTAGGGCAAGCATGAAAACATTCAACGGTGGTCTACTTGAAATGAAAGGCACGTACCTGTGGCGATCTGCCTCTCATACTCCGCGCACATGTTCAGTATCTCCTCCAAACGCGCAGACTCCGCCTCTTTCTGCTCCTCCTCCTTAATCCTGTCCTGGTACGCCTGGACGTTGGAATGAGAGCGAGGTTTATACAGCGTGACGTTACCATCGCGACAATAAATGAACACACGTCTAACGCCACTTGCCAATAATCATGAAAAAATATTAACGTTAGACAAAATCCATAATTAAAAAAAATATTTTTCAAACAAACTAATTAAGTAAAAAAGAAACAAAATTTGTAACATCCTATACAACTACAACTGGCTGATTCATCCATTCAGAGACTTTTTCATTAGTTGCCACAGCGCCGCATTACAAGCCTCTCCTTCTAACAGAATGTTTTGTCTCTTTTAAATTCATTCAACCCATTCATATGCTTTGTGACCTTTACAAATGAACTTTACGTTACACTTTTATACGTAAGGCTGTTCTAAAATTGTTTGTTTTGGAAAATTTAATAACTCGTTAAATATTGATGTTCAAAGAATGTAAATGTTTAATACAATTTTAAAAAGTTATCCTCTATATGTGTGTTCATTTATTGTCGCGGTGATATGAATCATCATTCACGCATTTCGTATTTCGTAACGTTAAATCTGTTGTTTTTCCAGCACCCGGCGTTTCGAACATTTGTGAGCGAGGAGTACTGAGGGGATTCACGCACCGAAGTTACACATCTCCAATCTACGAGCACATTTTGAATAGGGCCAATAAAATATGTTTACTCCCGACCGAATTGCTCTCGCCTTTTCCAATATGCAATGTATATTTCTACACTGTCTTTCATTTGTCTCCACTAAAACGGAGAGTTAGAAGTAGGTAGTTCTACATCGCCAACGAATCATTTAGTTACTATTTGGAAACGAATAGAAGACGCTATGGATTCTAGTTTTTTTATTAACGTAACTAATTGCACTAAACATCTTATGACGTAAGTGTTTGAAAATGGAAGAATTGCTCACCGACGTAATGTCTCAAAGTTTTGTTACACTAGCACGAGTATTTTAAATAGTATATACGCGATTTCCGCGCTTTTTCAATTAAGGCCATAAATCACGATGGAATCCAACTAAAGGAATGAGGTTAGAATAGTAACAGATTTTCGTTGTTTTTATCGGACGCTCCCCGCGCGTACCTGATATCTGTCGATTAATTCGATTAATAATTAGGGTACTGTATTGTAGAATCAAAACGATTTGTATTTATGTAGTAGACGTCGTCATGGCTATCGTACTAAAATCCGTGTTTGAAAGCATGTATGTTTGTTGTTTTAATATTTAATCATGAGAGATTGACTGTCTGGTTATACTTCATTTCTGTTACTGTTCATTTGTTTCTTTTAATTGCACAGATAAGCAATAATCGACATCTGGACATAATTGATGTTCTTTTTTCGAATCCTCTTCAACTTTCAACTTACCATTCCGCAGAACAGCTTGTCTATCTTCCTTATAATATTGTTGTAGATCTCGTTCCTGAGGTGGAATTCGTTGTACCGGTTGCATTTGAGATCGTTCCCTACCACGTATACGGTGCTGTTGTGAATCGGTGCGGTGATCTTCGATTCGTGTCCAATGCTTTTCTGCTGCACCATCTTGGATATCTCCGTTCTCAGGTCGTCGTAGGACCTCTTGATCTGCTCCTTGAGCTGGACGATTTTGTTGTCTACAGTGTTCTCGTGGTCTCTGGTCTGTTTCACGTAGTGATTCGTCAGCACCGTGTTTATCGTTCGATATATCTTGATGTCGTTCCGCAGCTTGTGGACGACGTCTAGCTTCTCGTTGACGGAGTTCGCCAACTCGATCATTCTTTCGCTATCTTTCTGGACGTTTCGTGCGTAGTTCGAGTCCATTGACAGTTTCAGGTCTTTAAGCGCCGACGTGTTCTGTTTCAAGCTCTTGACGAAGAGCCTTAGGAGGCGTTTGTGCGAGAAACGTTTTTTATCGGTCGTTTGCGTTTTCAACATCATTTGGACGATTTGTATTCGTTGTTCTATAGTTTTTTTTAATTGATATTTTTTTCTTCGTTAGCACGATCAAAACAATTGCCAATTTTATTAGAACTTATAATGATTGAAACCTCACAAATCTAAAATTTTATTGGCTTTGGGTTCTAGTGAAAAGCCTTCGTAAATTTTAATCACTGACTAGACCTCGTTCACGAGCACTGCACAATCTTGGAAACATTACAAAACTACAGATACAAAAAGTAGCACTGTGTTTTCAAGTCAATTGTGCACACGCGCCTTTTAGGCCAAGATCTCTTCAAATCTCCACGGACCAAGGAGTTCCTACTGTTCTACTAGACCAGCCTCCATTAATACAAAGGTTGCAAGGCGAACTGTCACATTTGTCGCACCACAGCGCCGCAATGGATTTATCATTGCGTCGAACACTATCTCAAGATAACGCTATTGTTTCCTCAATTACGTACTCTTTAATTTTTACTGTTTTTTTTTTTATTATTTACTTTTAATCCCATCGTGGAGAAAACTTTTATCTGTTCTGGCGATCTTTAAGCTAAGTTCTGTAATAGTTGGTCCAGAGTTGGAGTTATAGAGGGAAAAAAATCACCAATGTAATCGACGCCTACATATAACGTTATTAAAATTAAACACACGAAAATAAAAAAGTAAAATAGTTTTCGTTGAGTTAAGTTCGGTAACTCTTCGGTTGTTATCGGTTGTTTCAAAGTTCAATTTTTCACTTAAAAAAAATATTATCGCTTTATGTTAATGTATTTAATAGTTTATTGTGTATAGTATTTATGTTCGTGTAAAGTGTATTTCCATATAATGTACCTTTGCTTTTTTTGTATTCTTTTTAATTTGTTTCGCGTATTTTGTTTGTGACCTACGTCAAATTTACTCCCGGCGTTGACTGGTAGAGATTAGCTTCCAGCTAAGTTGCGCTTAAGTTGGGGTAAACAATAAATTTTTAAATAAAATAAATAATTCCAGGAATCCGTTGCGCAGTTGCTTCGGCGTCGGGGGTCGTGGGTTCGATTCCCACACGGGACAACTATTTGTGTGACCCACAGATAACTGTTTCGCTTCTGGGTGTTTGTCCGCGTGAAATTTATGTTTGAAATACCTCCTTACAGCACAAGGTCAATGTTATCTTAAAGTAAGGGCATTTTTTTTTTAATATATCGCTGTCAAAGGAAGGGACAAGTAAGTGCGGGATTTACCTTCATCCTCATGCTCTCCGCTTCGAAGCTCCTGTCGTGCTGGCAATTCGAATAGACCGGCGAGTACTGCGGATTGCGGTCGTAGGCGGACGACGGCACGCTAATGCCTTGCTGGTGGTCCCTTCTAGATGCTTCTAGAGCCTCGGGCCGGCCGCGCCCACCCTGCTGGTGTCTGGAAGCTTCTAGAACCTCGAACCTGCCCTCGCACGGCTCCATAGCCGCTCGCGCTTCGCAGCCGAGAGGGTTGATGCGCCCGTAAAGGTTCTCCGTTCTCCCCTCGGCCGCCCTCGGGCTGTGGTCGGTGTTTGGGCGGCTGCCACTGCCATGGACGGGCACGGGTGGCAGCCCGTGGCAGCGGGCGATGTGCTCCGGCACGGGCCTGCCACCCAGCACGTCCCTGGCGGGGGTGTTCACCGTCAGCGAATTGGCGCTGAACACCTTCGGCGAGATCTCGCTACCGCTCTGGGTGTAGAACTGGCTCCTGCCGACGCAGTGCTGGCGGGAGTACCTCTCGAATTTGGACACCTTGGCCATGATGCCGGTCTTCGGTTTGGACTCCTGGTCGGAGTGGTCGTTTTCTGGCTCCCGGTGGGTTTGGGCTTTGGGCGCGATCGGCGGTCGAACCCTGGACATCTCCCGCAGCGTCATGTCCAGCTCGCGGTCCAACTGGGAGAGGGTTTGGTCCTTGTATATCTTCTGGGTGTGGTTGCTCTGATAGCATTGGGAGTCTGTGTGGTTGGTGTAGCCTGCGGCGAAAGGGAGTATGTTGAACCGCGGAAAGTATATCGAACTAATAATATATGAGAGATACGTAATCAAATGGTATTGTTTTTAAAAGAAATTATTTTTTTTTATAACAAAAAGTATTTATAAAGCCAAAAAAGCGGTAAATATACAGAATATAGAATGAACTCTGCGAGTTTATAACGAGGTAAATAAAATGACGATCTTTTAAAGAAAATTCAGATAAAGTCCTGTACATTCAAGTGACTCAACAAATAAACGTCGATATCAACATTGTCGTTTGATGCTATATCCAAGCTTTACATAAATCATATGCACGAGGGCAAACGTTGCGTCGTTAATTGCAAATTTAACTGCAAGTTTAGCACCGATAAAGACGTTAACTGCCACTTTACGTGGTAATTTACCAAGCGTTACGCTGTAAGTAACATCATAAGGAAACCAGCACATGGTCTAAATAATAAAATGAAGATTCTAGATTTATAAAGGTTCTGTTACGTAGGCCTGATTAGGAAACGCGTCAAACATTAATGAGGTTTCGACTGCGTTTCGTCTGGTGATCGAGGTAGCCCGGACCCACTTTATTAATGCCCGGTTCCTATATTCAACGGACGGCCGTTAGTTACATAAATTCGTAACTTTCATAAGGACTTGTAGATAAAAGGCGTGTACGCCCGGTTCCTATATTAACAAAATGAGGCGTTTTCTTTAGGAGCCGTTGCATTACCTACGGAAAGTGAGTTCCTAGCGTTCCTTTAATCTACAAGTCGTTATGAAAGTTACGAAGCTATGTAACTAACGGCCGTTCGTTGCGTATAGGAATCGGACATTAAGCTGCAGCTAAAGCTCGGTCTACTACTATTACTCTATTGTCAAGCGTTGGCTACACATGTTAGGTTAGCGGCGCTTCAAAAGTGACGTCAGTGAGGCATCAAGAGTGACGTCAGCTAAGTGCGTAATGTGACGTCACAGACTCACCGGTCTGCAGGCACTGCTCGTTAGGCTGGAACTGTATCGGTGCCATGGAGACGTGGCCCGACGGTAGTACCGACTTCATGAGTTTCGCCTCCTCGGGATGATTGAAGCGGAGGTAGTTCGAACGGCCGATGGTCAGCATGCTGCCTAGAAGTGGATAGAGAATAGGCCTCGTTTACGATACAGCCTTGTTCGCTCCTGTGTCGTCATCGATTTCAGCCTGTTTTAATCCAGTGCTCGACGCAGGCCTCTACCATAACATAGGTAACTCGTACTCAAAAAAATCAATTTTCCCTTTGGGGAGCATCTAAATCTTGCGAGAGAAGGGTAACACTGGATATCAGACTGATCCCTGTGGTACGACCACGCTGCAACTTCTGCCATCGCACGAATGGTCAGGCTCATCCGGGGAATTACCGCGGCCTCATGTGAAAGTCAAATACTATTATTCAATTTAGGCTTTAGAAGTTCACATCAGAATCTACAACTGGTGCTTTAATAGACCAGATTAGAGTTAATAATATAATATAAATAGCGTGAGACTACAATTTTATTAGTTATTAAGAGAAAATTAGTAAGAACTCTAAGAAGGGTCCGAATGGGTTAGTGATTGTTTCATATGATTACTTATATTATGACTTACCCTCATCGTCCTCAAAAGTTGTCAACATTCAATTTGGTACAGATATTTGGTTACCAGCGTTGGGTTTATAAGCTCCATAATACTGACATCAAGATTCTATGTGCAGAGTAACCAAATCTATCTGTACTCGTAGACTGAATATTGACCGCCGTATCTCTGCAAGTTTCAAACGGCCTACCTTGCGAGAGCCTGGTCGGCTTATCCACCGGCAGCCCGTCCAGCAGCGTGCTCCCGCTGATCGGGTAGAGGGTGACCACGCCGTGCGAGTTCTCCACGCGACAGTGCACGCTCGCGACACCAGTGCCCACCACGTAGATGTCGCATGTCGGGTCGGAGCCTATGGTCACGCGGCCTGAGGAGGGACGTTTCCAGTTGCGTTTCATATCAAACTGACTAATGTCTCGGTGGCGCACTTGACGAGCTGTTGGCTTCGGCGTAGCGGGTCGTGGGTTCGATTCCGTATTCCGATTAAGTATTTGTGTGACAGAGATAGTTGCCCGGATCTGGATGTTTGCTTCCGGGGAGGGTTGACGTGGGGCAGGTGGCCGTTCGTTAATAACCTAATCAATACCATAAACATCGTGATTCAAATGTTGTGACGTGGGATAAGAGCAGGAGGAAGATGAAGATGGAGGAATGAAGGGGCAGTTAACCTGGTTATTGATGACCACCGCCAATGGACACTGACGGAAACGCATGCCTGTTGAACAAAACTGAGAGTATTGGTCAGCTATACTGCGCATATATACTATATATTGAGCTGCTATACTTTATTCCCAACCCCTTGTTTATCCAAAAACAGTCAATGTTAATTGACAATCATTTCGGCTTGTACGAAAGTTGTCTTCTGAACATAGGCCTCCGCCACCCCCAAATGGTAATTAAACAAATATAGTTGACAATGTGCATAGATATAGTTCCAAGTGATTCGCCATTGCTAGCTTCAAGATTCAAGCTTCAAGTCGTCAATATTCGTGTAAATAATATGTTCATTAACTCAACGATCCGACTGGCGTAGTGGATTGTGGACAGATCTCTAGCTCCAGAGTGTGTGGGTTTAATCCCCACTATTGGAAAGATAATTTGTGACGAACATAGCGTTTTTCTTTTTATTTATGTCTAATACTTATTTATTTACAAATGAAAAGTATATATAAGTGTACTTATCAGTAGCTTAGTATCCATAGTACAAGCTTTGTTCGTTAGTTTCGGACAAGGTAACGTTGTGTGAATAACATGTTCATTAAATGTTGGCAACACTACCGACTTACCCTGTTTGATGGGGTGCAAGGTGACGGCGGTGCTAAGGCGGCCGGTGCCTAGGCTGACAAGGTGTGGAGTGTTGGTCGCCACTCTGGAATAATAGAGGCATGGTTACAGCAAAGCAAAAAAGTAAAGTAACAGCATTACATGTGTCCCACTGCTGGGCAAAGGCCTCCTCTATACTACGGGGGGGGGGGGGGGGGGGGGGTATTAGTCAATATACTCGAGCAACCAAAGTTCGATCCCCGGTGCCGGCACTGATAATTTTAAGTGCTGACTTATCAATGCATTAAATTTAATAAATTGATGTCGAATTGCGAGCGTATTTCATTTTCAGCATCTAAAGGTTACCTTAAAGGGTATAAGGGATTTTTAATTAATTATTATGTTCACTATACCTTACCGCTTTCAACCGAAACAAAATAAAATCCCGCAAAATATTCAACGTTGAATACTGTTAACGAGACACGGAGTCGGGGGCCATTGCATGTCATATCTTCACATGCGATCGCATAAAATTGTTATAATTTGTTTCTATATATAGCGCGTGCGCCGCCGCGCGCGATCTCTAGTTAAGATAACAAAGTAAAGGCGATATTAGTGCGGCCATGAGCAAAATTGCAAACTGGGGATTTAACTATTCGGTAATTTCTTGGAGCGTTTACTACCTGGAGTGATTGACTAATTATAATGCGAGCAAAGGTCGAATACATCTCGGAAGTCGGAGTAGCGATTTGGACGAACTTCAAGAGGACAGTTTTTGGTATCGAACTATTAGCCCCCTCACTCGTGGCGTGGTTCAAGTCGATTTCTGTCTCGCTCCCACAACAAGTCCGTGTCAACAGTCCAGAACAAAGTTGTAATTCCTTTTTTCAACCGACTTCAAAAAAGGCTCTCAAATCGGTTGTCGGTATGTTTGTTATCTCAGGAATTGAGCTCAGGTTGCTCGATTAGTAGAATTCAAAACGAGCGCCCAGACACCTATAGCAATTTAGATGTTCGAATTAAGACAACCTGTTCTAAAAGCATTCGTAAAATCCGAACGATGCATGTAGGTTTTCCCTCATTACTGTTATCCTATCCAAAATTTATTTGCCTCACGTCTCTATGTGCTAATTACGATCCGTCGATAAATCGCTTTCTGTTCTCGACGGTACACGCTCGGGGGACACATACAGGCGAGTACGCTCGTGCGCGTTCGTTACACAGGTCTCGAGCCGAGACGCGTGGCGACACTAGTCGCGCAGATTGCAAGCGCGCCATTGGTCGATGTGGACAGGAAGCGGACGGTCTATTTCCAGTGGCGCCGCGGCGGGCTCTGTGTGCACCTTTTGCCCTTATTGCGACGGGGCTACCGCGTCGCTCGCATTGAAATTAACCGGACAAGTTTGACGAGGGGCGTTCTTGCAAATGTTTATGCATATCAGCCACACCAAATGACGGAGATCTACATGATTTCTTGCCACGAATTTTGAATAAACTAGCCCCAACGGGTTAGGACGCATATTAAACACTAGCTGCTGCCCGCGACTACGTCTGCGTAGAATAGGCTGAAGGCGTAACATTCAGACAGAAAGACAGACATACATAAAATATGTATATAAATTATAGCCTATGTCTTATTTTGATGTATAAGCTGTATTATTGTAAAGTTTAATTAAAATCCATTCAGTAGTGTTTGCGTGAAAGAGTAACAAACATCCATCCATACATACAAACTTTCGCCTTAAAGCGAGGTTACCGAAGTTCTATTAAAATTGGCGACACATCTGCAATACTGTGTTTCGTGTTCCTACACGAAACATAGTATTGCAGATACTCCTGGACTCCTGTCCATGTGTGGCGGTAATCAATAAACATCAAGTGAACTGACACCTCGCTTTTTTACATAAAGAGGTAGCAAGCGGGCTCGCGGATCACATAGTGTTAAGAGATAGCCGCCGCCAATGGAAATCTGCTACACCCGTCGGGTTGCAGATGCGTTGCCAAATTTAACATCCCGCGCTAGACGAAAAGCGAAAGTGTAACACTTTGACTTTACGCCGATCTTCTGTGAGGTCTTGGTGCTTTTGAGGGGACTGATGTTACCTTCTATCATGAAAGTTACGACCATCGTTGCAAGATACTGGCCAAAGGATAACCTATACTGAACACAGTGCTCGTATTTGTTTTCTTTTTTTTTTTTTGAGAAGGTGGCAAGTGAGCTGGTGGTTCACCTGGTGTTAAATGATAACCGCCACCCATGCACATTTGCAACACATGTAGGACGCGTTGCTACTTCTCAATAAAGTGGGCCCCGGCAACCTCACTAACCAGACGGAGCGCCGAAGTATAACACTTCAACTTCTCGCAGACCTTGTGAGGTGGTACTTACCCGGACGGACCTGACCATTCGTGCAACAGCGAATACTGTTGCGTGGACCTACCACAGACCTACATACCTACTGACACACGAACGTGCACAGTGTGATTTATACCCAATTTCAGGTTTCGGGGAAGCCAATGGCCGCAATCAGAATGATGCATTTGCCTTCTTGGGCTTGCATCTGTCGCCGCCATTAGTCGACGCGATCCGGGTGTTCATTATTTTTAAACTCAACCTTCCTTACGGAAGCGACCTTACTCCGTTCGAAATAGAGTCCTATTTTAAACACACCTACGCGTTGCTTCGCTAATTGCCGCAAGGATCTAAATGCCATCAAATATCTCGAATACTCATAGAAATAAGATTCAAAATCGTATGATCGATGAGAATGTTAATCGGTGTAGTTTCCACATTCTATAGAGTCCTCACGTGATCCCGGTCCGGTTCGATCTTATTTTAGATTTCGCACCAAAAATAGAACGTAGTTTGTTTTGGTTTCTTTGAAATGCGCTCCAATTAAATGTATTATTCATTATGTCGTGATAAAAGTGGCTTCAGTGGCGCCTGTGGTGCGGACGGAATACAGTTTGAATCCTAGTTTGTTTAAATCAATTCGGTGTATTCCTTTTGTACCGAGAACATGTTTAATATGATCTATTACAACGCAACTACGAATTTTTGCTACTCGACAAAGCTAGTTTGAAACTGCCAAGTTTTCTTTGACAAAATGATTTTTGATAAAGTGACTCATATTAAAGTTTGCTTTGGTACCGTTTAACACTTTCAAATTTCTTATTATATCTATTTTGTAGTCATTTCGAAAATATGCAGGTTTCCTCATGGTGTTATTCTTCACAAATAAGCACATGAAAGTCAGCGCAAACGACTAACAATTTCATTGTCGCCGGAATTGAACGCAGTTTGTTACAGTATTCACGGCTAAAGTATATTATACTTTAGATGTTCGAATTAAGATAACCCGTTCGTAAAATCCGAACGATACGTTGTAGGATTCCTCTCATTACTGTTATCGTATTCAAAATTTATTTGTTTCGATAACGACGTGCGCGTAATGTTCATTTTTATTAAGGAAGATGGGAAACGAGCTGTCTCAAGGCTGTTCGAATCTTCTAGAATTAGATGTAGAACTAAGCGAGGATGGGGAGGCATCGGGATGGTGCGATGACAATTAACAGTCAAGAAGATCCTGGTGAGATCACTAACCGTTACAATAATCCATTCCGAACATTCCTAAGGTCTTTTAATAACTAATATAATTGTAGATTCCTGCCAGCTCTTGGTTAGGTTACGCTATTAAAGAACCAGTGGTAGATTATGGATGTGAAATTTCAGCAAGCCTTAATTGAACAACAGTGTTTTAAATTTAAATTTTTACACTGCTAATCTCTGCACAAGCTTTACAAGTAGACTGTATTTGACTTCGACATGGGAAGCGTGGACTGCTGATCACCACCAGAAAGGTCTAAGAAATAAGCATGTTCTGCTGACAGAGAAGCTTACAAACGTGTTGACGGTTCACCTTATGTCCGCCGCCCATTACATTTGCATCGCCCGTTACGTTTGCAACGCATCTGCAGCCTAAATGCGTTGCCACCTTTAAATGAAGTGGGGCCCGGCTACCTCGGTCACCAGATGAAACGCAGAAGCACACTTCCACTTCACGTCGGTCTTCTGTGACGTCGTGGCACTTACCCGGACGGACCTGCCCATTCGTGCAGCAGAGAAGACTGTTGCGTGCCCCTGCTACAGTAAAAATTTAACGGTATTAAATAAATAAGTGCTGACTTATCACGTGCTCCGCGGTGAAGGAAAACATCGTGAGGAAACCTGCATATTTTCAAAATAATAACAAAAAAAAATATTTCGAAAATATGTGAAGTCCGCCAATCCGCAGTGGGGCCGCGTGGTGGACTATGCCCTGATACCATCTGTATAGAGGAGGCCTTTGCCCAGCATTGGGACATGTATAGGCTTTTACTTTACTTTACTTTAAATAAATAATAAGGTTTTTTCCATTAAACTTTTTAATGATGGCGAATGAGCGGGGATTTATGCGGGTCCAACAACCCAACTGAGCCTCCACCAGGCCGTGGTGTAGCGTTTCGTTTACGCCGTCACGACCTTACGCTTGGGTGCCGGTGACCTTTTAATACAACCGTATGGTTTTCAATAATCTTTTTTTATAACCGGGTTTAAAATACACTTGCGTTTTATGGACTACTTGTGTACACGCGAATGCCCCGCATAGTTAAACTAAAAGTTTTCGCGGTTTATTGTTGTTTATGTTCGGTTACTTTTCGCTTTTGAACTATTTACAGTTATCTATGGTCAGAGGGTGGATTGAGATGTTTTACGTGCTAATGTTATTGATAATCCGGGTTACCGTAAAATTTTTGAATCATTTATTTTGTCCAATCTACGCAACAGGAGCCTAAAGTGCTGGAGCACAGTATTGGTTTTCTTGTGTTTAATTTTATGAATTATTGGATACTAGCAACCCGCTCCGGATACACTCGAGTGCAATACTGAATATTTGTTTTCGACATCGCATTAGAAACCTCTAAAATGATCAGTGTTTCCTTACTATATTATTCATAAATTATACATATAAACCTTCCTCTTAAAACACTCGATCTATTAACGAAAACCGCATCAAAATCCGGTGCGTAGTATTAAAGATCTATACGCATATACTATAGGGCAGA